TTGATGGCTCACCGTCCTCTGTTAAAAGACAATATGCAACATTTCCTTCTATAACATAATCTGAGTGCCAATTGGGACGTCTTCTCACACGATCTGATTGACGAGTTGTTGGAGCTTCAGAACTCTCTGGTTCTTGTTCATCATGTGCTGGTTCTGCTTCAGAAGAATCTCCTTGTTCAACCTCCTTTTTCACATGTATCTGTGTAGTCTCTGACTTTTTAGCGCTATTATCGTCTTCTTTTCTTTGTAGTTTATCTTCTACAAAGATAACATCCCTGCTAATGATCACTTTGCGGGTAGTGGGATCCCACAAGCGATACCCCTTTACTCCATCAGCATACCCCAAGAATTTGCATTTCCTGGATTTTGGATCCAACTTTGAAATTTCTTGGGAGTTGTACATCACGTACACTATACTTCCAAATACATGAAGGTTTGAATAATCAGTTGGTTTACCAGTCCACATATCCATTGGTGTCTTCAGCTCTATTGCAGTTGATAGAGCTCGATTCACCAAATAACAGGCGGTATTGACTGCTTCTGCCCAGAATGATTTTTCTAGGCCTGTATCCCTCAACATTGCTCTTGTTCTTTCTAACAAGGTTTTGTTCATTCGCTCTGCCACTCCATTTTGTTGAGGAGTGTTCGCCACTGTGAGCTGTCTTTTGATGCCTTCTTTCCTACAAAAGTCATCAAATTCTTCACTTGTGTATTCTCCTCCATTGTCTGTTCTGAAACACTTGATCTTATTTTCAAAATCAAGTTCCACCCGTGCTTTGAAGTTTTTGAAAGTGGAAAACACATCTGACTTCTTCTTAATAGGGTACACCCAACATCGCCTGGAGTAGTCATCAATAAATGAGACAAAGTACTTTGCTCTGCCTAGAGATGTAACTGGTGCTTACCATACGTCAGAGTGAATCAATTCTAGAACACTTTTGCCTCTAGAATTTGATGTGTTGAATTTCAACCGGTGATGCTTACTTGTTATGCAATGCTCACACAAAGGAAGTGATACCTTTGTTATGCCTGGAAGTAGCTTTTGCTCCACAAGGACTTTCATTCCTTGTTCTGACATGTGTCCAAGTTTCTGATGCCATAACATTACAGAATCTGAACTACATGAGGCAACAGAGGCTTCTGCTTCTAGCAAAGTCTCTCCATTCAGCATGTACAAGTTTGCAGCTATCTTTTCGCCTTTCATCACCACAAGCGCTCCACGGAACACCTTCATGATTCCTTTCTGTGTTTCAATCTTGCTTGCATTATTATCCAACAATCCGTAGGATAATAAATTTTTCTTCAGGCCTTTCACATGCCGTACATCTCGAACAACTTTAATTGTTCCATCATACATCTTCAATTTGATGGTTCCCACGCCAACGATCTCTAAGGCATGATCATTGCAACTATACACAGATCCTCCTGAGACATGTTCATAATGATGGAACCATTCTCTTCTTGAGGTCATGTGATATGTTGCTCCTGAATCAATGAGCCATATATCTGCATATTTCTTTCTACCTTCCACGGTGGTTGACGCTTCACAGCATAGAGCATCTCCATCATCTGAAGTGTTTGCGGTATTGCCTTGTGGATTGGAGTTTTTATTGAGACTCCAACAATCCTTCTTCAAGTGACCATTCTTTCCACAATGGTAGCACTTTAAATTCTTCTTGCTTCTCGACTTCAATCTACCATGTTTGTGACTGCTGCTTTGGCCACGTTCTATTGATCTCCATCTCATCGTTGTCAACGCTTCTGCTTATTGCAGATTTACTTGTCTGTCTTCATTGTTCTTGCGCCGATTTTCTTCTTGTAGAACAGCAGCTGCAACGTCATCGAAGACTAGACTGGTGACATTACTATTTGTCAAGTTGATGATGAGTTGATCATATGAATCCGGTAGACTTTGAAGTAGAAGTTCAGCACGTTCTTGTTCTCCTATTTTACAGCTTAAGGATGTAAGCTGAGAAAATAGTGTGTTCAGTGTGTTTAAGTGCTCCGTCACTGAAGTCGATTCTGACATCCGGAGAGTATACAATTTCCTTTTAAGGAAAATTTTATTGTGCAACGATGTAGCCTCGTACAATTTGGTGAGATGATCACATATCTCTTTAGCTGTCTTCTTCTCCTCGATGCTTGACAATACTTCATCTGCTAATGCTAGATGAAAGTTTGCGAAATCCATCGACCTTTCACTGATAGCCGCTAGACACTCGTCTTTCCTCGGGATGACCTTCATCTTCAATTTCCACAATGAGAAATTTCTCCCATTGAATTTTTCAATATCAAATTTTGTTGTCATAGCTTCTATAACGGATAGCTCCCACTATTTCACTATCGTGAATAGTTCTCTGGAACCTTCAAAGAATGAGTAATACTTTCTTACTTTCTTATGTTGGAGGATCCACCTTTTGGTGGCAACTACAAAGGCAATAAGCAGATATTACACACTCTAATCTGGCTCTGATACCAATTGTTGCGAAAGACAGCTATCGGATAGAGCAAAATCACAACTGATAATTTGAGAAAATAAAAATGAAGATAAAAGAGACACAAAATTTACGCGAAAAACCCCTAAATAATATAGGGTAAAAACCACGGGCAACGGTAGAAGAATTTTACTATGAGAAAATAGGAATTACAACTTCTCTCGATCTACCAAGGAGAAAACAATGATAATTCTCTCTTGATAAAAAGGAAAAAACAACTCTCAAGAAACTCTCTAAATTCTCTAGTATTGGAAGAAAACTAGAATGCTTTAGGATGGTTTTGAAGCTAAATGAGCTAGGGTATTTATAGTTGAAACTTAAGGACTAATTTGTAAATACCCTAAAATATAATGACTAATATTTAGCAATTTTACCATACAAAAAAATAATAAAATATTATTATTCAAAGCCACTGGCTGCTTAGCAGCCCATGTGATTTGATTTTTCAACAAGTTCAACAAAACTATACCATACAAAATTCAGGCCCATTTATTTCTTCATCAAGTGAGTTGCACCGCGAAATTTTTTTAGGTCATGCCAAATGAAATTTGGATTACAAATTCTAAAAATATCCACATTGACACAAATTTTGAAAGTGCAAGGCAAGGTGACAAAAAATCTCAATCTCGATGAAAAACATATTCTTCACCTCTTCTACAAAATTCTTAAGGATATTTTTTAATAATGACATTAACTAGGTTTGAATAACGTTCAAACTTGAATATAGAGAGTGACTTAGTCATCATTTTCATAAGATTATCGTGAGTTTTAACTTTGCTTACAACAAATTCACATATAAAATGATATCTCCATGAAATATTTAATTGTTCGTAAAGAAGATTATACTCCGATTGTCACAAAATATTGTACAGATCTTAAAATCTTCACTAAATTCACCGAACAAAATCTCTTTAATAAAAATACTTCTTTTCAAGTCTTACTAATGATCATATACCCAATTTCAATAATAAACAAAATAACATTAATTTTCAAAGTAACTTTCCAATTGATGGCACAACCCTCAATTGTATAGATGTACCATGTTAATTATATTCTTTTATTCAAGTCTCCAAATAAAATCAGAATCAATATATCCAATGATTTAATTTTTTCTTCTCTCAACTATAAGCAAACACTAGTAATACCTTTCAAGTATCTAAAAATATACTGTCATGGACAAACCATAACATACATGACTCACTACACTAAAATATGAAAGCCATGACATTCAGTGTTCCTTCATAGGATTTACTATGTATCTACTATCCGAATTGACTGTATATGATAAATCTAAACATGAACAAACTAGACATAAATGAGATATCTCACTACACTAAAATATGAAAGCCATGACATGGTCAACCTCATCATTTGATTGCAACAAGACAAATGAAAGTATGAAGTGAGCTAACAATAGAGTACTAATATGCTTAGCACTCTATATATTGAACTTATAAATAACTTTCTTAATATACTCTTTCTGACTTAGGTATACTTTACATAATTTTTTTTATCTCATGAAGATTTAGACTGTTGAACGATTTATGATTCAATGGCTGATTAATGACTTAGGTATACTTCATTGCTGGTAAACTTCAACTAGCTCGGTCAAAGTCAACAAGTGTAAACCCATGGCTCAACTAGGATTATAAATGAGACGAGACAAATCGTGAGTTATTCGAGATTGACTTGATCAAAGTTTCGATAAATAATCGACTTGAGCTCGAGCTCGACTCAATTTCTTAATGAGCCGAAACGAGCTATTTGATACTCGACTCGAAAAGCTCACGGTAACTTGAAAAATCAATATATTAAAAATTATTTAAAAAAAAAAATATTATTATTAATATTAATATTCATGTGTTGATATTTTTTTTAAATTACAATATAAGATTTTCATTTATTTAAGGTTTATGTTCGAGTTTGAGCTTCAACCGAGATAAATTTAAGAAAAATTTATTTTGAGTTTTTTCGAGCTTCAATTCATGATTTTGAGTTCGAGTCGAACTTGAAAATTTTAGGTTTGCAAGTTTTCGATTTGAGTCGAGTTCCATTTTAGAGTTTTCGAGTCGAGTTGAACTCAACAATACTCAAACTCGACTTGTTTATAGCCTTAAGCTCAACTCTAATGTATTAAATTTGGAGAAAATCACGCATATTCTTTACTTCCCCTGATAAAGCAAATAGGTATAAGTAAAAGTGAGGCAAATTGGATGGAACTAGACGGGCCGGTGGGGACGGTCGCCCCACCTAAAAATTTTAATTTTCTATATTTTAGATATTTTTTTTATTAAACCTGTTTTAATCTCTCTAAAATTTTATAAAATTATTTTCTTTTAAAATTTATAAATTCGTCAATTCTAACATAAAATTCTACGTCCATCCATGTTAATCTCCAACTGCAGGGAATATCAACTTTTTGAGTGTGACAAGTAAAGGAAAGAATGAATAATCCAATATAAAAACCCCCAGCACAGCCATAGATCTAAACAACACTTTACGACAATGGAGATCATAAAGAGTCGCAGAGGACTCGTCATCGCTTGCTGCATATTTTTACTTGCTTTACTTGCAGGAGGTGAGATTCTCCCTCAAACCATCAAGGTAATTAATCAACTTTGCATGATTTCTTTCCACTTTGTTAGTTTATAAAATTATCATGGTCATTTAAATTAGATTAGGATCTAATTATACATTGTAAAATAGATTTAGGATTAATTTTCAATCATTTAACGATATATTGTGTAAGTGTGAATCCTAACTCAATTTAAATTGTTGTTCTCTTACGAGTCACAAACCTTTTAACATCCAAATGAAGTTCTCCTGTTAATATGCATACTAGATCATTTCTCATATCCCATTAAGTAATTCTGATGAGCCCCTTGGGGTAATTAAATAAATTAACAGAAACATAACATACTTTTAATAATTTTTTCATTTCTTTTACAAATTTTCATTTTTTTCATTTAGAATTTATTAATATATTATATATATTTACATTTTCTACAACATTTTAATTCTAAATGTTCTTTTAATTTCTTTATTTTAAAGTAAAATGATAAAATAACTGATGTCAGCATAATATATTCATTACTTTTTTCTGTGAATTGATTTAATTTAAGAAAATTAAAATTTTAAGAGTCAAAAGAAATAGAAAAAAAAGTTTAAAGAGCCAAAAATGTCATTATACCAAATTGAGTTTTAAAATATTACTTTGTATATTGTGTAAGTTAGGTTTATCAGTGATTGATCATATTGTTTTGGATATATGTTATGGGCCTTAACCAAAAGGATGATGGATAGAGGGAGGATTAGGGAAGACGATTTTTTCCCTAAAGATTTTAAATTCTCACATATTAAAGATTTTTTTTATTTTTTATTGATAATTTATTTTTGCTCTCCAAAATTTTATAAATTAGTTATCTTATAAAATTTTATATATTTGTTACTAAACAATTTTTGATTGGTTTTTACAATCCATTTATCAGCAAGCATGTCAAAACTAGGTAAAAGTCATATAAGAATATGAAGATGCAGATGAATGATTAGTCCTTGGCTAATGTTGACATAGTCACTTTAGAGAAACTGTAGCTACACAGTGACAATACAAACAACATGCACAAAGGGTGCGGACACATCAGACCATGTGAGCTTGAGATTTGGCGATGAAAAATCAAATGACATAATTGTTGAACATCTCAACTCCAAGCATGTAAGGCAAGTTGATCCATTGCAGCCTCTTGTCCTGGATGACATTCCCAGAAAACCATTCCAGGCTTGCTTGGTAGATGAGTTCCAAGTGAAGGGGCAATGCATGGAATCGCCGATCTGCTATTTGTATCTGAAGCAATCGGGAAACGACGATTGGCGACCGGGTTTTGCGCAGGTGGAGGCATTGGAAGACTCTGGTCTCAGCTCCACAAGTTTCTTTTTTCGAAGATATCTGCCCCGGAACGTTTGGCACGGCTCTGATTTGTGTTTTAAAGAAACCACTCCTTTTGGAATCAAGCATAAGAGGAAGGTATTCAACAAGAAACCAGCTGTCGCTGAGAGTCCAAGAACTTAAATAACAATCCGTTATCGGAATAATGACCATTATATAATGGTAAAAATATCATAAATCCCTAAAAGCTCGACTGTAACCGCAATTTAAATCCCTTCTTTCTGTGCAACTTTTAGTATTGGAAATAATTGAATAGGAATAATAAATAACCAAGAGTTATATAATTACTCATATTTCTAACGAATGAAACATCGTTGATATAGTTTGGAAATTTTAGTGTTCTTCTAGGCATATTGTTGATTTAATTTTTTTCTTTTCTTTTGTTAGACTTCGAAAATTCTGTTGACAATTTTTTTGATAGATGATCTCTTTGATAACAAAGACGAATGATCAAAATTGTTTAAACAAGTTTCGAGTTTGAAATTTTGTGTATACAAAAAATTTCTCTTGGGAGATTCACCCACTAAATTAGGTGTACGATACGAGTCGATCTAGATTAATCAAAACAATGTTTTGATAAATCGGGAGGACAACAAAAAAAGACGAAGGATCAAAGAGAGAAATTATTGGTCGATTAAAATAACACAAATCACCTTAAAATCCTAAAACCAAGACAGAATTTGACGAATGAAATCAAATCAAACAAAATTTGGTCTTTCAAACAAAGCATGGATAATGGTTGAGAATAACCTTCTTAAAAGCATGTCAAAGAGTTAACAATGTTACTAATATTAAAGTTGTGGTATGCTACTTTATTTCTCCCTTTAGATTTTATTTTATTTTTGCATGATTTATATCTCTTTTATTATTTGTGTTCCAAATTTAAATGTATGATTGTTCTTTCTAATAACATCATCTTTAAAATTCCAATATAAATATTTCATTAAGAGTATAATGTGTCTTACAATAGTATCCAACCTTTACCGGTCTCCATTGGATTTTATATAATCTGCACACAAAAATTGAATTTCTTGTGGAGATTGGAGTATTAATTTGATACATAAGTTGAATCAATAAATATTATTTCATTTGATTTTGCAGAGTATAGTCAACTTACATATTCTTTTACCTAAATTATTTATTAATTTTTTATATTTTTAAATTAAAGATAATAACGTTTAAACGGTTCAAATCCACAATCTATAAGAAATATCTATTAGGTTAAGACTCAGTCAACCAAACATATTCGTCTAGATATATACGCTTATTTATTCAAACTAAAGGTGCATCATATTTGGAAAGTAATTAGATGTAGATATAATTATATGTAATTAGTAACAAATATAAATCCGATGTAAGTATATATGAAAATGTTTCAAATTCACAATGTCCCAAAAAGGAAATATTGTTTAAAATTTAGGAGGTTACCAAATTCATCCAAAGAACTATCCCACCATTGAGAAACAACAATACCGTTCTTAGTAAACAAAGCCTGAAACGATATGAAAAAGGACATGAAATTTCTCCTTCTGGTGCTGCTTGTGTCATGTAAGTTCCCCTACTAATAGTTGATATTTCATACACTCTTTTAAATAATGATGCATATTGATGTAGAGTGTAGTTGTATAATACCAAATTAATGGTAATTTGTTTGCAGCTTTTGCATTTTCAATGTTACATGGAGTATCGGCTAGGCAGTTGGAGAGTGAGAATGATTATCAAGAAACAATTCGACCGTGTAAAAGTGACGCTGACTGCAGAGATATTTTGTGCGCAGGACAAGGTGGTGTACCTGCATCTTGCGTCGTTGGCGTTTGCGATTGCGGCTAAATGAAAACAAATATTCCAGTGACTTTAACTTGAACAAGAAGCAATATCTATAGTCATGTTAATGGATAAACAAAAATAAAAGTATGTAATTTTCTCAAATAAGAAATAAAAACTTTTCGTGTCATTTAGTGTCGTTTTTTTTCCAGATTAGAGAGATTTGAGTTAGATTTTTATGACCAAATTGAATTGAATAGAATTTAGACTAAAGTCAATCCAACGAGATTTTGATGTTCGGATTAGAACTGACAAGTCGAATATAAAATAAGTGCATAGAGAGGCTCATTCCTTGAGTTGGGCATTCCAAGCAAGCACCAATGGCTACAATCTTCACCGAGAGGTTATGCTTCGTTTCTTAGCTCAAAATGATACAAAGAGGCGGCAAAAGAGAACATTGGCATGAGCTAAAAGTTTAGGTTCAGTTTGGTTGGATACCTATCCTTGAAGATGGGTGATTGTTAGCCATGGTAGAGAAAACTTTCCTTCACCAATTTGGTCTTGCGAAATGTGTTGTTATCTGGTTCAGTAGATTCATGCAAATGATGATAAGAAAGAAGCTCATTTGAACAAATCCAAGCATGGTAACTAAGTTGAAGATTACCCTGCTCTCCCAGACAATATCTACTCCATTCTTAGCCTGTTGCATTTTCTGCATCATGCCAATGAGTGCAGACCGGGCATCGCCTTCTCTATACACACTAGTTAAGTAGTTGTGCATTTCTATAATTTTCTGCAACAATCAAACTAGTTGGCAGAGAGAAATATAACAAGTGAGAAGTTCAAGATTTTTTTTTCTAAACTTTGAAACCTACATTTTGGTCGTATTTCGCAATGTCATCCATGACTCCTTTGAACCACTCGAAGGAATCTTGTTCCCTGGTTACCCAATAGAAATATGCTCTATCAGGATACTTCTTACTGCTCTTCAAACAGCTACAAGTTCCATACTTCCATTGTCTTTAGTATCCTGTGGCATTCAAATTATTTGAATCGTTAAAAACAAGATGAGATTTTTTTAAGGATTGTAATTTGGGTTTTGCTTTAAACTAACAGGTTTAATGTTGCTGAGCAGATCTTTTATGATTCTGATAAATGGAGTAGCCCCAATTCCCAAGCCAATAAGTAAGAGAATGTCGAACTTATTATAGTTTTGCGTTGGTGCTCCATATGGCCCTTTGATGTAAATGCTTGGAAAACTGTGCCAAGAAATCAAAGCTATGTTATATACTGAAACAATGTAAAACAAAGTTGAACCAACAATTAACTCACATAGGTTCATCCTTCTCGTAGTGTTTACTTCAGCCTGATGTTCTGTTGCCCTAGTTTGTAGTTTCATTAACCCTCCTCTTTTTGATCCCACAGTTGGGGGGTTCACAAACCTGCATTCTTTTTATTCATCTTGCAGAAAGGAAAATAACAAAAGGAATAGCTAAAGGGAAGAAGAAGGCATCACCATTTGAAAGATATCTCTTAGTTCAGTTGTCCAATCCCCGAGGCCCCGGATGTGGAGGTTCAAGTAGTCATCTTTTGGTGCCCAAGTGATGGAAAAGGGATGCCCGTGAACGTAGGATAATTAATTTCTGAGGCTTGGAAAATGGCTATTGCCAATGCAACTAACTTGCGGAAGTTTATGTTGTCGTCAAAAGGGATTATCTGGTTTAGAAATAAAGATCCCAGCTTAGTGAGAATTCCTCTACACACTGGAAGGAGAACGAGAGCCATATTAAGCTTGAGAGCCTCAGCAGAACCCTTGGCAACGCATACACAATAGCCTGTGATCTGATACATGGAGAGAACTCCTTGTATTTCCAGAAGAAGAGGATTAAGTTTATGGTTACAAAAAGGATAATAACCCATATTCTTCTCCAATTGTCATGGAGAAATTCTACAGTTATGGACTTGTTGCTATCATCTGAGGCCATTATCCCCCTTAGTAGAATTTCTAGCTGCCATAACTGTTTTCAAGAGAAAATTAACAAAGATTACAATTCCAGTTATCATATATGAACTGATTTAAACTAGGGGAAATGATCAATAATTTCAAACCTCTATATATCCAAATGATCAGGGTCAAGCTCTTCCATGATTAAAGATGCATATGTCCCGGCTTGTTCTTTAAGTTTACCAACTTGTTTGCGGAGGCACTCAACACTATGATCTAACTCATTACGTCACAATTACGGCGAATCCAATTCAGACCACATAAAAAGATTATTCAAACTTAGGGTTGTAAATGAACAGAGCGTTCGATAAATTGTTTGTGAATCGTTTGTATAATGTTTATTTATTAAGCTAAATAAATAGGTTGAACAAAATTTTTATGTTCATTAATAAATGAACGGACATGAATATAGACGTATTCAATTCGTTTATGTTCAAGAACAAGTTTATTTACATGATTATCCTATTCCTTATATTTTTTTATATTTTAAATACTGATAATGGAGGAATTAAATTGAACATAAAGTGAACTTTGAAGTTCAAACCGTGATGCCTAAGGAGCTTAAAGACTACTGGCATAATCACCAATATATTCTCAAGCCTTAAATATGCATGTTCTTGAACACTAAACGAACTTATTTGCGAACGTTAAACGAACATGTTCGCGAATGCTAAACATATTGAACACAAACATTTTCAAAAAAAACACGAACAAGAATCGAACATAAACAACTTCAAAATAAATAAACAAACACAAACACCATCTTTTTCGTTCAAGTAGTTTCATTTATATCCCTAAGCAAAATATAAAGAAGATATCATATTCAGATTTCTTACCTCCTTGACCTCTTCTTCTGACAGCTTACCATCACCGTTCTTGTCACACCTGAAAACAAAAACAAAAAAAAGCTCAAAGCCTGCTGTAAACTTGCTACGTACCATATTAAGCTTACTAAATGAAATAGGACTTTGGGTTTCATACATATCAAAGAAAATCTGAAGCCTTGAATAGAGATCTTAATTGGTCATTTCTTGCCAGAATGAATGCAGCTGTTCCTTGGTTATCCCATCTTCTGGGCTCAAACCTTGACGCCTTGCCAAGGCATCAAATGCTCCCTTGCCAAGGCATCAAATGCTCCCTCTGCAAATTCCTTGGAGTCTCCATTCATTCCTACAACACATTTTACGTACAAAGGTGACTGTTAATTTTCCATCTAATTAGATCACAGATTTAAATAGTGATTCATAATCGGAATAGCGACTGCTATATAACGGTAAAGGTACCGTTCAAAATCATTATTGCACGATCACGATATACAAATGAACGAATATTACCAACGCAGGCTCCAAATTTATCCCTGTAGAGCATTCCCTTGACGGAAAACTGGTTGAACCGCCTCTCAGTTGATT